AGGTAGAGCCTGCCTCTTCCACCCACACCCCGTGGTCCGGGTTTTAGGGGCCACAATCATCAACACCGCTGCTGCGGCAGCCGCACCTCAAGTGCTGCTCCGACGGCTTGAAGTGAGCCGCTTAGACAGCTGAGGTTTCAGGTCTCTCTGCGACCCAGCCGGATCCTGAGGAGCCGGGCCTTGTTTGGCCTCGCTTCCGTTGCCGAGCGGAGGGAGCCCAGTCCTAGCTTGAACCCTTCCGGGAACTGGGGAGATGCAGCTACGGACTCCCCGAGCCCCTCCCCTCAGGGCTGTGAGGGGTATTGTGCTGCAAGGAGAGAACATGAGCCATCTGCTTGAGGAGGTGCCACTTAGCGGGGGAGGGTGTGTCATCATAGAAGAGCGTGTAACCTCCACTCAGGGGAGGAGAGGATAGAACCGGCCCGAGGGAGGAACGAACACCTGGGGTGAAGAAGAGCTCCCGGACCTGGGCCGTCTAGAGTGAAGTTAAAAGCGAGGAGGAGACCGATGGCGCGTCAACCTGGTAGATGCACAGAGAGCAATCAGAACACTTACACAGGTTGAAATTTTTCTCTTTCGAGATGCGGGACCAGATGTGCCCCTCTGGAAGAAGGGACTCATTGAGAGCCTGCAATCTCTGCCCTCTTGTTGGGCGAGGGAGAAGCGAAGACTCGAGCGCGGAGACGAAGCGGTTCTTCCGCGGGACGAAGTTCTCTTTTTCGGCCTTGGCCAAAATTGCAGCGGCGCGGCGGCCCAAGTACTTGCAAACAGGGAGCTGACTCAGTGAACCTCCTTTTGAGCAGCGAGGCGGTGAGGAGTCTGGACTTCCTCAGCCCTGTCCCTGGGGAGCTTGTCTTGTCTGCCAGGGAGTTGAGCTTGCGCGCCACAAGGCGTCAGCGCCAAACTCAAGACAAAAGTCCGAGTAGCTGAGGTGGGAGCGGACCCAGTGTGGTTCGGCTCTGTGCCTGTGGTCCCACGCCTTAGACCACACAAGCGAGGTGCGCTTGGTAAAAGAGGCCTTGAAGGCTCAGAGCGGGCTGGTCGCAAGTCCGAAGGATAGTAGGTCAGACGCTACGCCGCCTCACCAGAGGCCGAGAGCGCATCCCCGCCAGGTTTGCCAGAGTTTGGTGGAGTTTCGCCAGTTAGTGCACCACCGCAACCCACCGTGGAGACGTTTCTTTACCAGACGGTGCAGCAGCAGCAGCAGCAAGTTGCTCAGCTTACGTCTCTAGTCCAGGCTCTTGTGAGCAGGGATGTGCCTGCGCCACCTACTGCGAGAGGCAAGGGCCACGGTGGAGAGCTTAGCTCCATCTCCGATTCGTCGGGGAAGATGGAGGTTGATGAGGGAGGTGCCCCCATCAGGAATCCCAAAGCTGAAGCTTATGTTGCCAAGTTGCCTGCAATTGATGGTGGAAAAATGAGCAAAGGCCGTCGCTCGGAGATCGAGGGGTGGGCTGAATTCTTAGAGCAGTTTTTGCCTTGGATCGCCCTCTTTGACGATAGGATCCCGGAAGAGCTTCATCGGTCGATTGCCTCGGAGGTCACCATCAAGCAGTCGTCGCTTGAAAAGGGACAGAGCGTGCGTTCAACTAGGACCTTCTTGTACCTGAAGCAAGCGTTGCAAGGGTTTGCTCGTGGGCTTGACTTGGTTAAGCAAGTGCTGGGTATGAGTGCATGAGGAGATTGCATCAGGAGTTGTCTGTTGCGAGCCGCATCGAGGCTTCGACGCTTCGGAATGAAGCTTTGCAGTACCGCGCGAGCACTCCTGCCAATCGTCCACTTGACATGTTTCGGAACATCCAGTTGGAGCTTGCCAAGTTTACCCGCTTGACCGCAGGGTTCCCAGATCTTGCGTTGAGTGAAGCAGATCGTTGCATGATTGTTTTGAGAAACCTTGACGTTGAAGTGAAGAAGTATGTTCTTTTGCATGCTAGGGTTGACTCCATGGATCAGCTTGAAACTGCTTTGAAGTTTTATGATGCCAACCTTAAGATCCTGAATTTCCAAGAGAAGGAAGGAAAGGGAGCAGCAAAGGACCACGCGAGTGCTTTGACCTTCGAAGACAAGGGAAAGGGCAAGAAGGGTGACAAAGGAAAGGAAGGAAAAGGAAAGGACAAAGGAAAGGACAACAAGAAAGGGAAGGAGAAAGGAAAGGAAGGAAAGGGGAAAGGTGGAAAGGACAAAGGCAAGGACAAAGGGAAGACCGCAGCCGCAAAGGACGGCAAGCAAGGTTCTGGAAGCGACAAGGAGAAGGAGAAGGAGAAAGCAGAGCGCTTGAAGAACGTCAAGTGTTACAACTGTGACCAGTTCGGGCACTACTCGAATAAGTGTCCCAAGCCCAAGAGGGAAAGAGCATCAGCAGCTGCTTTGCTCGAGCCGCAGGTCGCGGCTGCCTCTTTGGAGCCTCAGATTTTCGCAGCAGCGGTTGATCTGAGTTGTCCGGTTGTTGAGCTTGATGAGGAGGATTGCTCAGATTTTTCCCAGGAGGATTGGGAGGAGTTTGTTGCATCTTATGAGTGTGCTTGGTCGGAGCCAGTTGTGCTTGAAGGCGGTGAGCCTGTTGTTGCGCATGAGGGTTCCATGTTGCACGTCGTGCTTGACAGTTTTCCTTGTGACAGCCCAAACAGAGCCACAGTTGAGCTTGCAGAGTCCCGCGGTGTCCCAAACAGAACCACAGTCGAGCTTGCAGAGTCCCACCAGGTCCCAGAGAGAACCACAGTCGAGCTTGCAGAGTCCCCAGAGTTGAGCTTGGAAGTAGGTCGTTTTGTTGCAGATTTTCAAAATGGCGTTGAGCATGGCATGTTGCATGGGGTAGGTAGACCTGACCATGGCATGGTAGCGCACGAAACAGCAGCAGCCAGCCAGCAGCATGACACCATGGACTGGTGGCTCGTCGACTTTGGCGCGTCAGCCCACATCATCAACGAGGACACTTTGAGCCGGGTGCACGTTGTGAGCCACAGTGAGTCTGCCAGTGTGTGTTTCTGCAACGGGTGACAGCATTGGAGTTCGGAGGTCTGCGGTTGTCAGGGTTCCATTCGTTTTGGTTTCAGGCGAGACGGTGGTAACAGAACTCCAAGTGCTTGTTGCTCCTGTGAAGTTTAACCTGCTGTCCTTAGGGCGTTTGCTGGGCAAGAGCTGGGTTGTGGATTTCCTGCCAAGTTTTAAAGTTGAGGCCGCTGGGTACGTCCTTCGCACGAGATGGGTCTCCAATTGCGGATGGGTTTTCTCGAGTGCTGTTGAGCTTGACCGTTCCGTTGCAGTTGCCGCCCGAGCGAGCTTGAAGCGTAGTGACGGCTGTGCTCCTTCGTCTGGGAAGCCTTCTAAGAAGGATGGGGAGGAGCAACCGGGCACCCGAGGAGTCTTCTTCCGACTCGGAGCAGGAGTGGCGCCTTTCGGGTCGCCGCCACCTGGCGGAGCAGCACGCGGCGACTGTTACGAGGACGCACGAGGATTTCGAGGGATCCACGGTCGCCTTTACGGCAACCTCGATGGTGTCTTACGCCGGGCCAGAACCTGCTGTTGGTGCCAGCCGCGGAAGTGAAGAAGAAGACGGCAGAGCAGGCAAAGGCAGCTGCGAAAGCAGCGGCGGAGAAATTCGTGAAGGAGCGCCAGGAGAGCGCCCAGTGGGCCAAGGAGGCAGAGGAAGCAAAGAAGAAGAGAGCAGCCAAAGCCGCAGAGGCCAAGAAGAAGGCAGCCGAGGCGGAGAAGTTGATCAACGAGGCCACGGAGGCAAAGAAGAGAGCAGCCGAGGCAGTGGAGTTGGTCAGCGATTCCCCAGAGGGGAAGAAGAAGAAAGCAGCCGAGGCAGAGAAGTTGGTCGACGAGGCCACGGAGGCAAAGAAGAAAGCAGCCGAGGCGGAGAAGTTGGCCAGCAAAGCCGCGGAGGCAAAGAAGAAGGCAGCCACAGAGGCCGTGGAGACAAAGAAGCCCAAGGGCAGTGTGGCCAGAGCAAGGGCAGAGCCGTCTTCGGGGTCGAAGGACCCACCGCAGCCAGTGGTGAAGAAGCAGCCCAAGCCGCCCATGGTGAAGGCAATGCCAGCCAAGGTCCGAAAGATCGTCCTGAAGAGCCGGGCCCAGCGCGGGATTCCCGGGCAGACCGACACTGCGCTGAGAATGCTTTCGCAGCGGGCCAAGGAGAAGAAGAAGAGCGGCTACCTCATGAAGGCCATCAACAACGCTATGAAGAAGAAGGCCGAGGAGCAGAAGGGCGCGCCAGTCAGACGAACCTGGGAGAAGCATATCAAGGACCACTATGCTCAGATCAGGGGGCTGGAGATCCCGTTCGTGGAGGTGACGATTTCCGAAATCGTCAAGGAGCCTCGGGGACCACCGCCGGTGCCACAGCCGAAGACCCCTCCTTCTACGCCAGCGCGAGCTTCAAAGGCCCCGGAGGTCAAGGTGGAGAGCGCGCGTGCAGCAAAGGTGCCGGAGGTCATCAAGGTGGAGGGCATGGAGATCAATCCCCCACCACCGGTGCCACCAAGGAGGAGGCTACCCATGCCGCCGAGGGACCCGAGGTCAGCCGGACGAGGGCCCTCTGCGCCCTCAGAGTGGTCACCTGTGTCCAGTCTGCCGCCATGGTCACCAGTTTCCAGCGTGCCGGTGGATGCAAAGGCCAGGGAAACCCCAGCAGAGGGGAGAGCCGAGCAGCTGCATCTTGGGGAAGACGGCAAGATCTACAACTCCCGGGGCGAGGTGGTGGAGCTGGAGAGCATGGAAAGCATCGAGATAGAGTGAGCCACGGCGGTGCACAAGGATCCTCCAAGGACGCCCGCCAATCTTCCGAGGACGCCCACCATCCAGGAATATCCGATGGTCCTTCTTCCTTGGGACTCTCGCTTCTGATGCAAGAAAAGGTTGCGTTTGCATGTGAGCATGACGCCGCAGTTGAGCTTGGTGAGCATGCATGTGCTGGTGGTTTGGATGAGCATGAGTTGCAGCATGGTGAGTTGCTTGAGCATGTTGGGCAGGACCGACCACAGCGTGACCGGAGCGAGGCCCATGATAGCCAGAGTGAAGCATGGTTGCTCAGAGGGGATCGGGAACTGTTGTTGCAGGAAAGCTGGGGTAAGCTAGAGCGAGAACATGTTCTTAGATCGCATGTGCCGTACAATGCGTCTTGCCCGCAGTGTGTGCAAGGCCGTGGGCTTGAACCCGCCAGAAGCCAGGATCGGCCCCAGGACTCAGGGATGAGAGAGGTGCAAATAGATAAGTTTTTCTATAAGGGCCTCGCGTTCCTGGTGTTGGTTTTGGTTGGTGCTTTTGCCCTCGGTGTGGTTCCGTACCGTGAGGTGAGCGGATCCCGAGGCCCAGCAGCCAAGGAAGCCATGTTGAATGACATGTCGGCATGGAGTCGTAGCGTTGGCTTGGTTGGTGTTGCTCCCAGTGAGTTGACGGTGAGTGTGAAGTCGGACATTGAGGGTGTTGTGAAGAACCTTGCGCAGAGTTTTGCTGATGGTTTGACCGCCGGTGCCATCGAGGTTGTGGATGCCCCTGTTGGTCGGCATGCTGTTGTTGCAGAGCGTGCGGTGAGGACCATCAAGGAAGGTGCAAACACACTTTGTGCTGGGTTGGAACAGGTCGGCTTGGAGCCCTGCGGGAAGGGTGTTACGTATCTTTTGATGCACGTTGCCCAGGTCTATAACCGGTACCAGGTGCATCCTGGATCGGCGCTGTCCCCAGAACAGCGTTGCTTGAAGACCACCCGAGGACCGCATGCCGCTTATGTTTGGGGTGCCGCTGTGCTTGCCACTCCTCCTCCCTCTTTGCGTGACAAGATCACCGGCCGTTACGGCCACGCCGCCTACCTTGGACCAGAAGTCGGAAGTGGAAGCCACATTGTGCAGTTTAGGCTGCGGGATGGCACCTTGAAGATTGCGAGAAGTGCAAGAATCCGGATGTTGGTTCCTCTTACCTTTGAGGTGTCGAGCTTGAAAGGTGTTTGTCGCATGTTGCCAGGAAGGAGAGATGATGCCCAGAAGAAGCTCCCCGAGAGCACTGGCGAAAATGTGCGCGACCTCCCTTTACCGAACACCGCGACCCGAGGACCACCACCAGAGTGGATTGAAGAAAACGGAAGAACCCCAAGGTGTCGAGCTTGCCGGCTGCGCGGTTTTCCAGCGGATAAGGCATGGCACACCCAGAGATGCCGTGATCGATACGCTGAGTTTGTGCGGAACTCCTTCGATCCCAGCCGGGCGATCCTCGATCAAGCCCCAATTGAAGAAGAGCCGACCGGGCTTGATGATTTGGGTGCTGGATTTGATGTTGATCTTGGGCTTGATGTGCCGGATGATCTTGATCCTTTCCCGAATTTTCCATTGGACGAGGATTTGGCTGAGTATGAGCCCAGCCTGCCTGGAGTTGAGAATGAGATAGAAGTTGGAGAAGAGCTCGAGCAGATCGAGGCCCCGAGTCCGGGCGAGCTTGATTTCATGCAAGTGGAGCCGGAACCTCTTGAAGCACTCCCAGAAGAAGAGCGGGAGGCTATGGTGTCTAGCATGATGTATCGCGAGTCCATCTCCTTTGCTGGTGCGTCGGTTTGCTTTGCAGGGGCCACCACCACCAAGGTTGTTACTCCTCAGGTTGTTGAGCTTGGGGGGGAGAAGCTGCTTGTTGAAGTGCCAGCTTCTGCAAAGGATGATGTGACTGGGCACCTGCTTGATATTGGCTTGACCTATGAGGGCATGTTGCGTGAACTTCGTGCTCTTGAGTCGCTTGCTGTCGGTGATGTTGTGTGGCATGTTGAACCGAAGCAGAAGGTGATCTCTACAAGGTGGGTCTCAAATGCCAAGGTCGAGCGTGTTGAGGGAAAGGAGAATCCGCTTGTCAGGTGTCGGGTTGTTGCTCGTGACTTTGCGCAGGGAGCGACCGCTGCGCAGCTGGGTATCTCTGCTGCCACAAGTTCCGCAGAAGCGCTGCGAACCTTTCTTTTCTACGCCGGTTCCAAGAGGAGGAACATCATCGGGTTGGATGTGAGCACCGCGTTTCTCTTTGCGGAGCTCGACGAAGAAGATGGCCACATTGTGGTCAGGCTGCCGGACGGAGTTAAGAGCAAGGACGGCCGCCGCGGCTACTTACGCCTAAAGAAGGCCCTCTATGGTCTAAGGGTTGCAGCTCAGACCTGGTCGCGTCACCTGGCAAAGCTGCTGAAGAAGCTCTGTGACCTGGAGCCCTGCGAAACTGAGGCTTGTTTGTTTTCAGGATCCGTGCTTGGAGGCCAGCGGGTGGTTGTTCTTTGCTACGTTGATGATCTTCTCATCACTGGAGACAGCGACGAGGCTATCTACCATGTGGTGGAGCAGCTGAAGACCGCTGTGAAGGTGAAGGTCACAGCCGATCTGGATCGTGACGGTCAGATCACCTTCCTTGGAAGACAGATTGCCCGAGAGCATTCTAGTGACTCCCTGTGCGTCACAATGTCCGATTCCTACTACGAAGAGATCTACAAGGGTTTCTTCGGGAACTCCAAGGTCACTGCGTGCGGCACGCCGCCAAACCTAAAGGAGTTGTACGACAAAGAAGATCCTTGCTTGGAGAAACCACTGTCTTCTGAAGCTGCTGCGAGGTTTCGCAGTTCCCTGGGAAGGCTGTCATGGCTTGCGATGACAAGAGTGGATGTGGTTTACTATGTGAGCATGCTGGCCCGAGGCCAGGCGAATCCACTCGAGAAGCACGAGAGAGCTATGAGGGCTATGTTGCGTTACTTGAAGTATATTCAGGGTTTTAAGCAGGTGGTGAGTCCAGTATCTGAAGAGAACCTGCGCCTTGATTGCTATGTGGACGCTTCTTGGGGTAGCGAGAAGAATGTTGACAGGAAGAGCATCAGCGGAGGGTGCGTGATGTTGGGAGGCTTCTGTCTAAAAGCCTGGAGCCGTCTGCAACAGGCTGTTGCCTTGAGTTCTGCTGAGAGCGAGCTCTATGGGCTTGTGGAGGGCGCGAAAGAGGCTCTCTCTATCCGCCGCGCCATCTCGCATGTCTTTGGGTGGGAAGATCTACCAAAGCCCCATCTTTTCTGTGACAGCGAGGCTGCAGTTGCTATCAGCAAGGCTGATGGGCTGAGGAAGGTGAGGCACATTGACCTTAGGGCGTGCTTTATCCAGGACCAGCTAAAGCAAAAGCAGATCTTTATCTTTGGCGTGCGTGGTGAAGCCAACGTTGCAGATCTGTTCACCAAACCTTTGAGTTGGACTGTTACCTTGAAGCACATGTGGGGACTTGGCTTGCGTGACGTTGCCGTTGTTGCTTGTGTGCTTGATGGCTTTGTTGCGTTGTGCGGTGCAATGCTTGTTGGTAAGAACCATGTTAGCTTGCGTGACCGCTTTGCCGCCATGCCGCATGCCTCCTGGTTGGTGATTGAATTCTGTGCCCCCGTTGAATCGTCGATGAGAGCGGCTAGTCAGGATCTGAACTGGGTGAACGTGCTTACTGTGAGTGAGCGTGATGATGGTGCCAGTACCCAGACCTTGCTTGAGCTCAAAGCCATCTTTGCTGTGCAGATCAAGAAGAAGGGCTTTGTCTTCTTGTGGGCCAGTACCCCGTGTACCGGAGGCTGGCCATATCAGCGGCTGCGTGCCCGTGATCCAGCCTATCGCCGCGGGCGGTTGGCTCAGCACTGGAGGCTTCACCGAAAGCTCTGGAAAAGCTTGGTCGAGCTTACTAGCTTTGTGCATGCCTGGGCCATTGAGTGGCCACGTGCTTGTGCTTACTGGTCTTGGCGCCAGACTGAGCATTTTCTTTCTTCACGCCCCTACGTCTTGCACGACGTTCCAGTTGATGGTTGTGCGCTTGACATGCGAGGCCGCGATCATCTTCTTATCGCCAAGCGGTGGCGTGTTGTTACAACACACCCAGCAGTTGCTGAGAGCATCCGTGTCTATCGTTGCTCTGGGAAGCATGAGCACTCGAAGGATTTCGACCTCAAGAGTACACAGCACTACCCGGTAGAGCTTGTAAAATCCTTCTTTGAAGCGTTGCGCCCTTGACTTTTTACGAGAGTCTTGTCGTTGTCGAGGACATGTTGTTGCATGTTTGCTGCGCAGCCTGTTTGCTCAAACTTTCCGGTGTTTTCTTTCTTTGCCAGGACGTTTAAGATGTCTCTGGTTCCTTTCGCTGCCGAGCGTGCCATGGTGTTTGGCCTGGTTGTGGAAGTGCAAGAGAAGCTGCTCGAAGTACCGAGTGTCGGGCTTCTCGTTGTTGTGCTTGTCCCACTGCTTGTGGGTGTTGCGCTTGGAGTGTGCTTGCAAAAGCTGCGTACCGAGAGCTCCCGCGTCAAGACTGTGCAGGACCTTCTTTCGTTTCTGCCAAGGTCGGGCCAGAAGATGGCTGTCTTTACTTCTGCTAGACTGCCACGGCCTCAGGAACGCGCTTCCGAATCGCATCGCTGCTAAAGTGGCTTGCGAGTACTGTTTAAGGGATCTCCGCCTGGTACCTCCGACAGCTACTGCGTCGTGGGGGGGTGTAGAAAACCAGTGCTCTGCCCAGTAGTGTTTTAGGTGCGACACAGAGTTTTCCTCGGTACCTGTATAGTTGTATAGTTTTGCTAGTTTCAGGTGGTCAGTGCCTGTAGAACGTAGTTTGAGCTTGCGTGACGGTTTTGCGGTAGCCTCAACCTGTTTTCCCTTGTTTTGTAGTGCTTGGGAGCTTTTAAGAGGTGCCACGACTACTGTCGTTTGGCTCAAGACACGTGAGACCAGCAGTGAGCTGAACGTGCTAAAAGTGTGAACTGTCCGAGTGTTTTGTGAGCTTGCTTTGCTTGCAAGGGTGCTTGGAACTTGTTTGCCTTGAACCTGAAGAGCTGTTCGCCTTCTAGGTTTTTAACGAAAACGATTTCGTGTGGCTTCTTCTTCTTGTTTTGTGTGTGTGTGTGTAATTGCGTGGGGGCTTAATTGTGTTTTGTTTCGTTAAGTTTGCTTTTCTCATTTTATTTTCTTCGCAAAAACCACCCATAAAACAATTTCGTGTGGCTTCTTCTTCTTCTTGTTTTGTGTGTGTGTGTGTGTGCTTGCGTGGGGGGCTTAAAGGGAAGCTTAAGGCTTAAAGGGGGCTTAAAGGGGGACTTGAGGGGGCTTAAAGGGGGGGGCTTAAAGAGGGGCTTAAGGGGGGCTTAAGGGGGGCTTAAAGGGGGGCTTAAAGGGGGGCTTAAGGGGGGCTTTAAGGAGGGCTTAAAGGGGGGCTTAAAGGGGGCTTAAAGGGGGGCTTAAGGGGGGCTTAAAGGGGGGCTTAAAGGGGGGCTTGAAGGGGGCTTAAAGGGGGGCTTAAAGGGGGGCTTTAAAGGGGCTTTAAGGGGGGCTTAAAGGCTTCGACCTTTTGCCCTCCCCCTGTTTGCGTAAACCTCTAAAGGGGTAGCTCTAACAGGTACCTACAGCAATGGCTGCATGCTCATACATATACATTCCGCTGCCCATTGGCTCACAGTGGTTTTACCATATTGAGACAAGACAAGCTCTCCTTGCGTAGCAAGACAAAACAACTACTGTCCGTGTGCAGGGCGCTGCCCTTTGATCCTTAGGGAATAAACTGGTCATACACCTCCTAACAAGGAGCATTTCCTTGTGGGTGTATCGGCTCAGTTTTCTGGTAGCGGAGCCCGGAAAGGGCCGCCCGCCTCCCAAAGTCCGCTACAGCGGTCGGCCTCGCCGAACGCTTAACCAAGCGGATAAGAGGCAGCACAATGTCGAGCTCGCATAGCGAAGCCGACGACAGTTCCCAATCCTCCGGGGGATATGAGAACGAAGAGACCTCCCAAGGTCCAGCCACTTATGTCGCACAGTCATATGCAACATCTGACCGCATGCTTGCATCATTAGGCATAACGCCCAAGATCGCGCCTGCCTATGATGGCACCACCTCGTGGTTTGAGTATGAACAGTTGATTGACGACTGGTGCGACATAACAACGCTGGATGACACCAAAAGAGGTCCGTCTCTCAAGACGAGGCTCTCCGGATTGGCCGCAGTACAAAAGGAATCACTGAACCGAGAAAGGCTTGCAGCCCCAGATGGAGTAGATTACTTCAAGAAGAAGATGCGTCCATTTTTCGTGAAAGGAGAACAGTACGTTTTCCTGTGGCGTTTCCTCGGCCTATTCAAGGCATGGAAGGGCAACCAAGACTTTGTGACTTGGATTGCCAAGTTTGAGATCGTGCTACAGCGCGTGAAAAACTCATGGATGGATCTCTTACCAGAGATAGCTCTGGAGGATGCCCATCCAGATTTCATGCAAGCTGTGCAGGCAGACCAAACCTTCTTGCGCATGCAGGATGCAGCCGAGAGAGACACATATGCCGCACGCTATTTCGAAACATGGAACAAGGAACGCCTTGACAATCATCGAAGAGCGTTTCCTCTGAACGATAATCTCCTAGCTCTCCTCTTCCTAGTGCAGTCCGACCTAAATGAGATGCAACGTGAGAGGTTGGTAACAGCATTGACCAACCAAGGTCACCGAATTGAGACCTACACGTACCCTGTGGTACGGCAGACCATGTTCGATCAGTTCTCAACGACCAGAACTGGTCTGCAGGATCCCAACATTCGGCACTCTTCTCACAAGAAGGACCGCCATGGAAGGAGAGACCAACGCCGTAAACGCGGAGGTCGAAACTTCCTCATCCTCGATCAGGGTGAATACGATGGAGTCGATGGATTCTGGCTCCAAGACGAAGACACCCTTGAGGAAGGCTTTCTTGCCGCCGAGGATGAAGAAGCTGTCTTCTGGACAGTTGATGACCATGAGGCCTTCGTTGCAAGGAGATTCAAAAAGGGAAGAAGACCAAGAATGCGTCCCGGATCACCGGGAAGAGCAAAGGGTGGCAAGCGAAAAGGACGTGGCCGTTTTAGGTCATACCGCGGAAAAGGGAGAGCCAACCAGGCAGAACATGATCCAACTGATTCCAGCTATTTCGGTAAAGGTAAAGGAAAGGAAAAAGGAAAAGGTGGAAAAGGCAAAGGAAAAGGAAAGGACAAAGGAGATAAAGGAAGCTCCTTCAAAGGCGCAAAGGCAAAAGGCAAAGGTAAGGATACAGCTAAGTCTGCCTCCTTACAAGGAGACCAAACTGGATCTCCACAGGCCTATGAGAGTTCCACCGCACCGAGCTGGGATTCATGGTATGAGGACAGTTATTATACTGACTCCAGTTGGAATTATGCCGCTTATGACGATCAAACGTCTTATACATACTATGCATCACAAGCCTCACGAAGAAAAACACGGAGAAAGAAGAGAAGAAATCAAGCAGGATCATCAGGTAGAGGCACAGATCCGAGCGCGCACCAAGAACCCGTGTTCAACTCATCAGTGAGTTACGTGCCCCAGGTCTTTGAACCATCCGAGGGGCAAGGTGTTGAAACTGCAACAGCGGTGTTTCCGTTGCAGCACACCGTCCTATCTGCTCTCACAGAGCGGATCAATCTTGATAAGAACCCTACCTTTGTCATACTTGACTCAGGTTGTACTAGGGCTATGGGTTCCCGCTATGCGGTGAACAGGCTTATCAAGGCCGTGAAGCAACGTGCCCCAGGCATGATTGATTTCACTTTCTCACCTTCGAACACGAAGTTCTCTTTCGCAGATAGTGAAACAGCTCTTATCAAGGAGCGTGTAACTCTATGGTTCAACACAACTCCAAGAAGAGATACAACCATAGAAGTTCTGGATCAGGGGAGAGTTCCCATTTTGTTCTCCATCGAACAGATGAGGAATCTAAGAATGACCCTCGAGTGTAGTCCCACAGCTGACCTAGCAACGTGTGAAGCTTTCGGTTTGTACAAAACCCCCCTTCCGATTAGTACCAATAACCATTTGGTATTGGACCTTCTAGGCTTCACTTCCACCAGGAAGTATCTCCCTAAGTCAGGTACGTCGTTCAGTGCGACGGAGACTGCTCTAGGAGCTAAGAAGCCAAAGGAAGAAAGAAGATCTTATACTAAGATCCCGGAAGGTCGCTGTCCAGCCTGCGCAGGACAGAAAAAGCCTCATACGTTCCTCAAAGGTTGCGACAAAGCACCTGAAGGAGCAGCTGATCCACCACCGAAGGGCATTCCAGGTAAGAAGAAGCCTCTTCCATCTGATCCGGCAGAATCATCTGCCAAGAAACCTGATCCACCAGAACCATCTGGTGATGCTCCTGAGCCTTCCGAACCATCGGAACCATCATCAGGCTCTAGAGACAAACCTGCAGAATCATCTGCACCGCACGAACCTCCAGAAGAAGAAAGACTTGAGGTTCCACCTGCGAAGACAAAGACTCCAAAGGGTCTTAAAAACCTTCTGAAGAAAACCCGCAAATATGCGGTCAAACCTCCTGTTGAGGAGAAGTCTATGGTCCCAGGAGCTGATGACGGGACGGAGGTAAGACCACTTGAGTCAAGAGAATACCCGGCTCCTGGTACAGACTCACCTACAGGTGAAGAGATTGTCGCAGAACCATCGCCATCTCTTCCCATTGCTCTTCGCAGGATTCATGAGAAGCTTAAGGACCCTGTAGAACTCTATAAGCTTCACCTTAAGCACCGTCATATGAGTACGGATCAGTTCAAGCGACGCACGAAAGCCTTACAGATCCCAAAGGAGATATATGAGCTATATGACCAACTGGTCAAAAAGTGTTCAGCCTGTCAGGAACACGTGAGAGCTCCTTCAAGAGCGAAGATTTCCGGTTTAAGATCAGAGACTTTCGGTGATCTCACCTTCGTAGATCACGGTGAGCTTCCAATTCCCGGCAAAAATAGTCGCTTGATATTTCTTATTCTCTATGACGGAGCAACAAACCTGTTGACTTCCGAAGTAGTCCAGGATAAGGAAGAGCATACTACAATGTCGATTATGAATGACTATTTTGAGAAATTTCAGATCAACCCAAGGGTTGTAGTTGGAGATCAAGCATTCATGACTCCAAAAATGGAGGCTTATTACAATCGGCAGAATATCAAGCCTGTAGCAACAGGACCTGGAACACCATGGCCCAACAGGGCCGAAGCTGCT